AAGCGTTAGATTAGTAGTTGAGCTATGAGAATATATTATTCCTCCATATTAAGTCAAGCTTGAATTTTGTATAGTAAGATTATCGAATTCTATTTATTAGATTTTTCCATTGAGATATAACAATCCCCCATTTCCATTATCCTAAATTTTCAGATAAAAAGAATGTTTTATTGTGATCTTATTTACTTCAGAGCCTCCCATGTAGATTCTTCCAAAAGCCAAAATGCCATAGTCTTCCAAACCAGATTAAAATGTAAGATTTGTTATTAAAACTTAATTGTATAACCCATTCATATAGATTATAGAACTTGATTTCTCGGAGTATATAACATCAGAAAAGTTACAATCCTCTATTATAACGCTAGAATTTAGTGTATCTAAGAATACCAGAGTTCCATTCTACTGTTATATCATAAAAAGAGCAGTTTAATTTCTAACTATGAATTGAGCTGTTGACCCTTGTATAAAAAATAAACCTCCACCTATTTTATTATCCCCACTAAATTAAAAATAGCAATTATTAATTTCTACATTACTTTCAATCTAAGAAACTATCATAGCAAAACCACCTTCTAATCTACTTGTAATCCATTCGAATTAAGATGCTTTTATATTTACATTAACAATGGAAGCCTCAAGATACATAAAGCCTCCTGCTCCATTATTATTAGCAACGCTAGATATTGAGGAATTCTCAATCAAAACATGAATAGAATAATAAGTATGACAGAATATACCAGTTCCATTAGTATTAATCATCTTATCGTCTAAAAGGGTATATAGTGCTTCTATCTATGAGTCTATTATCTAGATGAAGAAATTGTCTATTTTATTCTTGACTTTAACTACTCCACCTTATTTTATTACACCATACCCAGGAGAATTAACATTTTTCATTGTAAAATTCAAATTCAAGTTTTATGAAGTCTTCATTTGCTGAGTAACTCCTTATTCAGGCTCAATTTACCTATTCTAATTTGAAAATAACACAAAACCTTCTTCGTAAGATTGATCATCATTCCTTAATAATTGCGCATTTTAAAGAAGGAAATCTAGAGATCTATTTGACTCAAAGTATAGTAATGAACCAAATTAGCCACCTAGCCATTCAAAATTCATTACTTCTATATTTTGACTACGAATCACAACTCCTAGTTAACCTTCAGTTTAGTAAGTATCATTGATGTAAATAAATCCTCCTTTTTCAACTCCTATTGAGTAACTAAGCTCGTTATCAATAAACTCTATAGTATCTATTACAGAATTATCTATATAAATTGCACCTCCGTTTTAAGCCATTATATTAGTAAATCTGTTCAACTCAAACTATTTCATCTAGCAATTTTTGCAATAAATTGCACCTCCATTCTACCTTGACATAATTTGTAGGAATGAGTTATTATAAACACTGAGAATACTTATATATTCCGATTAAAGGTGTAAAATTGCTGATTTATTGCTTA